AACTAGATGCTAAATGTGCTGGTTTTCCTTGCTTGACTTTATTGAGACAATATTGCTAGGTTGAGTAACAATAAAATGGCCCCTCGAGGACTTTAAACTAAACTTCTGTAAAATGAGTCTTTTTAAACCTAGCTCAGACTTACAAAACATATACGCCTATACTTTCCTTTTTAGAGGCATGTAAAATTAGAAAAAAGAACTCTAGCCTGTTCCAACTAAGTTAAACCCATAGAAGATGAATGTTTGTTAATGCCAAAGACATGGAAGTTACCTTAGAGAAAGAACACATACCCTGCCCCTGGGTCAGATGAGACATCAGAATTTGACCTGTCCAGGAGAACACACATAAAGCCTTGTCCTAGCTTAGTGTTCTGGGCAGGCCTCCCTTAGGAGGTTGAACCTGAGATACAGTGCAGAGAACCGACTGCTGGATGACACCAGAAGGAGCTATCTCTAAAAGCACACTTCTGAGACCAAAACACATTTAGTCTAAGGGAGGCTATCTAACTTTTTCTCTTCTCCTAGGCCTCGTGCTTGGTAATCTTGCTCAGGTTTTTAAGTGGTTGCCTTTGTTGCAACACCTCCCCACACCCCCCAAAATAGACCCTAAGTCTGATTCTCTGGGTTCTAAGTACAGCTCAATGACTAAGTTCATCTGATACCGCTGTCAAAAGCTAGGCCACCTCAAGAGGGACTGCTCTAAGAAGCCCCCTGAGCCATGCTCTGATTGCCATGGTAACCACTGTAAGCCAGACTGAACTCTGAGGCAGAGGCCCCAGAGCTCAGACTCATCTTTCAGATGGTCCAAGAAGACTAAAGGGCCTGGAACTATCTCCTCCCTTTGGCCAAACTGTCATCTCTACCTATCATCCCATGGAGCGACCCTGAGTAATTATGACTAGAGAAAAAACCAGCCTATGGCTGGACATTGGCACAGGTCTCTTCGTCCTTCTCCAACTCTGACTTTCCTTTAAGTCTTTATACTTTGATAAGAGCAGGTATTAATAATATATATTTCATATTTTAAGCTGGAACTCAGATAACTTTCTCTTAACCCATTCCTTTTAGTTATACCTAAAAGCCCAGCTCTCATCCTGGAGAAGTGTTATCCTGTATAAATACTGTAATATATATTCAGGTTACCAACTATTCAAAATGATGCTGAGATTGGTTTTTACAAATGTTATATACATGGTTGTTCATATACAAAAACTTAAGAATTTTTCATTGGTCAAAAATAAGGTTTTAATCTGTTTTTCATAACTAATAAAAAATTTAAAGATACTTACAACTAAATCTAGAGTGACTTGTGACAAAATGTTCAGACTCCATCTGTAAAGGGATCTAAGAGCCTATGGGTTACAATTGCTAACTCTTAAAAATGCTTTCTAAACTTACCTGTCAGCTCTAATGCTCATGCTTTGATTCTACATGCCCTAATTTCTTGGAAAAATTGTTCCTGCCTAGAAAATGTCAGATCCCATGTAATCACATAGATAAGCCCTATAATAAATGTGCTAGATTACTTTTTGATTCCTTTTACTGGGATCCACCAAATCTTGCCTAAAGAGAGGGTTATATGACAGCTGGTCTCTCTCTCCTAAATAAAAATATAAAATTAATAAAACAGGCTAGCTTCCAAAATGAGATGACATTAGACATTCTAAAAGCAGTGCAGAGGGATACTTGTAAAAACTAAATGTTGTATGTGCATTCCTGATCCTTCTGTTAATCTCTCAATTGCTCTTCAAGATATTAGACAATAAATCAATGATATGTCAGATTTTAAAAGCCCCTGGACCTTATCCTTATCCTTTTTTTTTTGGGAAACCATTACTGGTTCCTCTTGGTAAAAATCTTTGTTGACTGTATTCATAATTATCCTGCTGATCTTGCTATTTGGCTCATAAATACTTAACCATTTCTTTGACTTTATCTCCTCCAGGTTTAATGCTATACATGTACCAGAGATAAAAATGCCTGGTGTCTATCAAGAGCCTTTAGATAGACTCTCTGGAGAGTATCTCTGTCTGCCAATTAACAACTATGACCTCTTTCAGTCTGAAGAAGCCAAAGCATTCATTGCCCCTTACTCCTTTGCAGTTTGGTTACTTCTTCAGAGAAAAGAATGTTATAGGCAGCTGAATTAGACACAAACATTAGAAATATTGTAGGCTGTCAGACAGGGCCAGGCCCTTGAAGGAGCCAGTGCAGAAGATGAGATACCTTGCAACTGTGAGGGAGACAGACACCTCCAGCTTTAAAAAAAGATTAAACAGATGCACCCACATACTTCCCTAGCTATGGACCTCAGGGATGATGTTCTAAATAAGTAGTAATCATCTTTAAAAAGCCAGGAAGAGTCACTAACCCAACCACCTCCAGGAAAAGCCCCTGTTCTGTATTCATGCCTGCTTACTCATTTCACCATTTGATCTTGATTTAATCAATTTTACCTGAAAAATTATACTTGTAATCTTATTGCTTGACCATCATTTTTGTCCCACCCAATGCCCACTTAGTGAGTTCCCATGTTTTCCAGCGTGGATTTGGCTCACTTGGTTTTGCTTCACAAATATCAATGGAAAAGACAAGTTCCCTGAGGATCCCACTTGGGTCCCCTTCTATCCCTCTCTCCAACAGAAGCTATCTTTCCCTCAATAAATATATTCTGCTCTTTCAAAAAAGAAAAGAAAATAAAGGTTATTGGAACTGATACTAAGAAAATAATGAGGAAGAGCATAACAGTAAGAAAACTTTATATTTTCCTTAAGAAATCAGAGATATCATACAGGAGGAAAGGAGATGGTTGTCTTTGCTTTTCAAATATCATCCCCGCTTATCTTATGCTGCATAATACATCTCCGCCCTCCATGTCAGCAGAATCCCCTTGGTATGTGTCATGAATTTCTTGATCCAGTAGTGTCTGGCACACTTTTAGAGGTAGAGTAATGACCTGTTCTTGTCTCTGATCCTCTGTCCCTCTCTCACCTTCACCCTCCCTCTCCCTCTCTTCCCACCTCCATTCCTTCTTCTCCTTTGTGCTCTGCTTTCCAAGTACTCACCTCCCACGTGGCACAGAGATCCACTATATCAATCATTGCTTTTCCATGTTCATCTGTTGGTAAAAGCTCCTCCCCTGGCTGGAAGAGAAGCAGTCGTTAAATCCATTTCATGAAATTCATATCTTCATCTGTACCTACAATCCTTGGTAAATCTAGTGTTGGGATACTAATGTTCCATAAAATGAATGGAGCAATATTTCAGAGTTATATTTCCAAAACACTTTGGTAGTGGTCCTTTTAGGGATGTTTTGAGTGAAGGATTTCATCTTTTCTCTTATATATTTTAAATCTGTTAATTCATAATATGCTCTCAGGTGCTTATGTGATATCCTCATTGACTTGTTGTTGCTTTTCATATCCCTGTACTTATCCCTGGAAAAGTGGTCTTTTAAGATGGGAAAGTCCTAACTCAGGCTGAAAAATCAGTGTTAATCTCCATCCCTGAGTATGGGAATAGTCAAAAGCCAGGCATGTGAGTCAAAGAAGATCCATCCTGGTCATTTTTTTCTTTTCCTCTCTCTTTTTCTTTCTTTTCTTTAGCATTTTTATTTCAGGTATAGGAGAAGTATGAGCTAGCATGAAAGGATGCATGAAAATAGGAAAGTAGATAGCACACTGGAATGTAAATGGCTCCTCACAGCAAACTTGAGCCATTGCTAGGTAAATGGGTCCCCCTTGACACCGTAATATTAAGTGAAGTAAATCAGACACAAGAGCTCAAATACCACATGGTATCTCTTACATAAGAGACCCAAAATATAAACAAAGTACAAAATATAAGAGAGTAAGGAATAATGAGATGAGTCTTTAGCACATGGGAAGGGAACCAAGGGAAGGAGGAAAGGAATCAAAGAAAATGGGATTTAAAAATGGGTGGAGATTGTAAAGTGTTCTGTACATACACTGAGTCCCTATCAAGAATGTGATCATCATTTATTAGCAACATGTACAAAAATATATATGTAAGATGGGGTCCAAGAGATGTGGGGGTAGGACAGAGAAAAAAAGGGAAAGAGTTCAAACACAGACTAAGAAACGTCATGTCAGTGTACCAGCTACTCATGATGAATACAATCATTCACACGTACTTGATATAAAATACAAAAACGAATTTCCCCAAAGACAGAGAAAGTAATTCTGACAGAAAATAAGCAAACAAACCAACAAAATTAAAACCAGCCACCACCAGGAATTGCACAGAATGTCCCAGTGTTAGGGGAATCTGCTCAAGTTCCTTTTAGGAAAGGCAGTTGAAGTCAGCACAAATCCCAGAACTCAACTGGGAAGAATGACCTTTTAATGTTTTTAAGGATGGTGTATGTGGTCTCTTTTCAGCAGCATGCTGTGCAATATTTTTCACTGAGGCATAGAATTAAGTATTCTGATGAGAAAATCTGGTTCTAACTACAAGTAATATTTCAGATTAAACACTTTCTTAAAGTTCTTGTGTCCTGTGCTTCTCTGTGTTTTTGAAATATCCCCTGCCAGATTGGCAATGGGCATGCAGAGTGTAAACATGGGGGATAAGTTTAATACTCTTCACTTGTTCTGTTGTGACAAATACAGTGAGATTGATACAGTTGCCATTGTTGATCATTACAAAATATTTTTTCACATTTATTTTATTAGCCATTGTTTTTTCAAAATATTACAATCCATAGATTTACCAAGTACAGTCAATATTCTGAGTACTAGCAAAAGTTCTTGATGTATATTCATTCATTTGATCTCTTTTCTACTATGTAATGAATGTCATGATTATTTTTTTACTGATAAAAAGTTAACGCACAGAATTTAAGAAACCTACACTATAAAACACAGCCAACAACTCACTAAAAGAGTTTAAAGCCACTCAGTGTGGCCTGCTAGTGCAGCATTCTTAGCTGCTCTGCTACTCCTCACTTACTGGGTCATAGATCTGTGCACTGTACCTTGTCTGTGGTTTGTCCAGTGATTAGAAATGAAATAATGACAAAGTAGGGAGAGTTCAGAGATCAAATTGAGGATGAAGATGTATTCAGGCTCTTTTCTAGATTAATTTTTATACTGAAAGATACTGAGTGGTTCTCAAGTGTTAAAGTTCATGAGCCTTTTATAGCAAAGGTCCTATTTGCCTCTAGTGCAGAAGGGACTTGACAAAACCCAAGAAATCCTCTGTGAGTACATGCATGGAGTTCATGAAAAGACACGTTTCTCAAGATTATTTCACGTCCATCAACATAAATATGGCTTGGGCTCCCAATTTACAACACACAATAAATTCTTTTGTATGAATTGACTTTAAAAGTTTACATAACACATAAAGTTTCTATAAATTTATAAAAGCCTAATTCAACCTTCCATGAAATTGGCAATCATGCACTTGCTAAATAGAAATGAAGATGAAAAAAATTAAATAGAACTCATGATGCACATTGTCTACCTTCATGGACACTGGAAAATGAATAAGATAGAGGTCCACATAGTCCAACTGAAGTTTTTTTAGTGAACTTTTCAAGCTCGGTTGGACCAGCTCTGGTCGATGGAAGGTGCACCAAAGCTAGAAAGAGATTAAAGAACAAAAATGTTTAAACACAAATGCATTAACTCAAGTTATTCCTTTCATTTCCCAATAATTGAAACAGTTTTCTACTGGCTATAAACTGAAGGCCATAGAAGGAAAACATTAACTTTTATCCTGAATTCCTCTCCGTCTTGTCTATTCATGTAAACTCTGTGAGATGTTCAGTTAGCACTAGAAAACATAACACATAATAGAAGAAAATCACTTCCAAGATAAAATTTTTATCAAGTAATAATAGTAATCATTGTCAGTTTCTGTTCCTAGGAAATGCCAACTACTCTAATAGTCTAATTCCCCCATACATTGGAATAAATTGGGAAGAATTAGTACAAAACATTTTGAACTTTTAATGTGCAATACATTTATAAAAGGCAATTTAGTAATCCTTAACACAAAAGCAGGAATCTGATACTGTTTCCTAGGGATGCTCACCCTTAAAATATGATAAAGGTTACAGCTCATATGCAGACTACTATGCAAATGTAAGACTTCCCCAGTCTGATGAAAGAAGCTATAGTCTGTTCAAGGTCTCTCTGAAAACACTGCCAATGCTAAATCACATTGTTTTGAATTAAAGCTCAGAAAGGAAAAGTCCTTTACATTAGAGTTAATAATGTGAAACCACAAGAAGAAAGCCATCATCTTTCTGTTTTCAGTGCTGGATGTTATACATAAAGATACATGAGTAAAAGATGGACCAATACATATTATTCATTAACCACTACTTATGAAATCATGCAAATATTACTTCAATGCGTCACATTCCTTAATTTGCACACCCACAGACCATATATACATTACCTTTGAAGTATAAAATATGTCTTCTCTCTTTACTGTGCCATCTGCAATCTTGCTGCGGATAGCAAGTCCCACCTCCTCTTCATTTTGGTACAAATAAGCAGAATCAATATGGCGGAACCCAGCATCTATAGCTAATTTAGTAGCCTCTGTAGCCATGCTCTTGGGCACCTAGAGAGGTATCCAAACATAGTGTTTACAGATCCACATGACGTAGCACTCTAGGATAAGCAGAGACTTCACAAAAAAACCTTTTCCTCATGTTTGGAATGACATGTGCATATTTGATGAACACATGTCAAGTTGCCTAGGTCTTTCCTTGTTCATAAGAAGTATAGGGTATTGCAATGACCTGTTTGGTCCCTGAAAATTACTTGTTGGTCATTTATAGGAGATCTTTGAAATATACTTGCATAGAATGTTTTTTGGAAGAACTCACGGACTGAGCATATATTTATAGCAATGGTTAATATGCATTCAGTTAGGTAATAAAATTAATATCAGAAAAGGAGCATGAAGTATAGAAAAAATATTTTCCCCCAATAAATTCAAAAATCATACTATATTCCTCCAACACTAAGTATAGAGGACATATGGGAATTTTGTTTATAAGAAAAGCTGTTTAGAAGCATATTTATAATCCATTCCCTGAGATGTTGGTTACAGAGACTCCCCTGCTAGAACACTTTGATATTCTTATCTCAAAATTGACAGCAGGAATAAACATATGGTGCTGTTTGTACAAGCAGTTCAAAGATCGACATTGTCCTTAACTGCTAGAATAGTGAGATATCAAAGTTCCCAGAGGTCACTGAGGGGCAAGTTTGAAAATAAACACTTCAGTGGATAGCAGAGTACTATTTTAAATTTTGCAAACAGCCATTTCATATGCATAGCATAAGTAAATACTAGCAGTAAAGAGTTCTGTCCTCAAAAGCTGTAGATTCATACACAAGGAACTACTTACATTATACATTGTGCTGAGTCATATAAGTGTCAACCCTTAAATCTAAGGTAATAGTTTCAGGGAGACATATAGAGGAAAAATTAAAATCACAGGCTTTTCTAACATGTTTCTGGAGACTTCTTATGCCAATGATCAAATTAGGACACCTCTTATGCCAGTGTTACAAATTAGGATAATGATTTAGAGGAAATTCTTTTTCCTAATGAAATTAAAAAAGATAAGATACTGGGTCTTCTGGCCCTCTTTTGACACCCTCTTCCACCGCATTTTCTTAGGCACAAGAGCTCTCAAACTTGTACCATGGCCAAGTGATATAAGAGAAAGTGCTCAAAATCATTAGCGATAAGCCAGTTACCATGAATGGCAAGTTTTGTTTGCTACTTAGCTGAAAAACTAATTGTTCTACAAAGAAAATCCATTGGCCAGTGTAATTGGGAGACCAACACCGTATCCATTAAGCAACCAGGCTGGTGTAATTGGTAGGTAACAGCACAAGCAGACCTTGATGTAAAGCTTTCTCTAGCCAAATTCTCCTTCTGTTTAGCAAAGAGCTCCAGCCTGTGCTACTTGAGAACAATCTGAGCCCCCTAATCATGTAGGAATGGGGTACTGAGCACTCAGGTCAGCTCCCACTCATCCTGTGTGTACTTTCCTTAAGTCCCCACTGCCAGCCCCACTTTGTTACCTCATTTGGAGCATAGGTGCCAAATCCCAGTACAGGAATGAAGTGACCGTCATTCAGTTTCACACACTGCTGTTTGGAAATCATTGTGGCCGCACCTCTCACTGAGCAGATTCTGTGTTTTCTTTGACTGCAGGAGGGCACTAAGTAGGCAAAATGTCGTAGTTCCACCCACATGACTAATCAATAGCCAATAGCGTGCAGGAGGAGTGAACAGTGAAAGGAGGGTGCCACCTATGAGAGAACTGGGACCAGGGCAGATGATTTATAAAAATGAGAATTGTTAATAAATTATCCTATGGTAACACAGAAATTATTAGTTTTTAATAAAATTTCCCTTAAGAATGTCTCATATGTTATTTTACATTGTTGCAATTGATTGAATACTTAATGACCAATCTGCTGAAATCTTATAGATACACATTGTCTTATTATTTTCAGATTTTAATATCAAAATGAAATTCCATTTTGAGCAAATATTATTTGAAATAATGAATTATCTTCATCTGGTATTCTTCCCTTTTGTCTTGTGTCACATTTTCTAAGATAGCACAGAGAAAAATGAATCTTGAAGTTATCTTCTAGCTATGTGATCCTTATTTCTACATGAATGTGAGCAAAGTGCCCTGATCACTTTCAGCAAATTCAGTTTATGCTCTCTTCTTTCCTTGTTTTAGACTCATAATGTACATTATATTTCTCTGCTGAGACCTTCAGAAAAAAAACGCAGGGAAGATAAATCTATTTTACATTTAAAAAGAGTGTGGAAATTTGATGTGAACCCCAGAGCTAAATGAGATTAATCCATGAGGAATTGTTATGATTATATATATATAATTTTAAGGAGTTTATATTAATCCTGAAATAATTCTCAAAGCTTAAATAATTTTGAATTTAATGCTACAGAGTTTTGCTATGTTTAAAATATTGATATGCATTCATTCTGGTTTTTTTAGAGCGATTTTATAATATCCATGAGCAAATACTTCTATTAGCTCTGAAAACAGAAAATGTTGTCTTTATACACTGTGCATAAATTTCCATATACTAAGCGATGTAGGTAATATATGTTTATTGTGTATTGCTCTTTATTATACTTAACTTGTGTCTGAAACACTGCAGGCCTGGTCATTCTAGGCTAATGTTTGTGGAGCAATGTATTGCATCTTAGGTGAGAATCGAGGCCTTGAGGGATCACTCTGGTCATTATTTACTCTTTCTGGATACACATAACACTCCAAAAAGTTTTATTTATTGATGTTTTTATTTAAGTCCTTTGTTTTTAAGAATTAATATAATTTGTACTTTTTAGATGCCTAAAAAATGATAATATTCATCATATGGAATTTGTACCTGTACGTGATATACCTTGATTCTTCTCCCCATCATTTTCCTCCCCTCCTTCAAATCCTTCTACAGTCCTTATTGAGAAAGCTTTGTTTCCAGTTTCTCCATCTATTCTGTTTTTACTTTTCCCTTCTTTTGCCCTATTCCCTACTTAGTTTCCCTTCCCATTTGAACATTTTCTTCCTTCACAATATCTGCTATAAATATTCATCCTGTTTCACTATTGGTTCCTCATGCCAGAGAAACCATATGATATTGGAACAAGTGTGGTAATTTATTTCATTTATGAGTATGATCCCACGGTGCACACATTTACTTAGAAATGTCTCATGTTTGTTCTCCTTTATGGCTGAGCAATACTTCCTTGTGTAAAAGAAAAAAACTCACATCTTCTTTATCCATTCAACAGCTGATGAGCATTTGTGGTATTTCCAAGATTTAGCTATTACAAATTACACTGCTGTAGCATGAGTGTGCATATATACCTGTGGGAATAACTCTTCTTAACTCTTTGGTGAAGATACCAGGAAGGGGAATAGCTGGGTCAAACAGGACCTCTAGTCCTAGATTTCTGAGGGATTTTCCTAGTGATTTTCACAGTGGTTTGCATCAATTCACCATTCCACCAACAGTGGAGAAAGGTTTCTTTCCCCATAAAATCCCACCAGCACTCGTTATTAGTTGATTTCTGGATAAAAAAAATTTTTTTTCAGTAGTGAGATGGACTCTCAGCATTGTTTTAATTTGCAACTCTTCAATGACCAATGACGTTGAACATTTTTTCCATATATTTATTTAGATTTCTCTTTCTTCATCTGAGAAGTGTGTATTCATCTCATATGTCCATTTTGGATTGGGTCTTTGACTTTTCGGGTCTTGATTCTTTTATAGTTCTTAATATCTTCTAGAATAAAGTCCTTTGTCTGATGGGCAGTTCGCTAAAATTTTTTCCAATTGGTGGGCTTTGTTTTTACCCTGTTGTTGCTTTCTTTTGACATACAAAAACTTTGTTTTAATATTTAAATATTTGATCCATTTCACTTTAGTTTAGTGCCTGTGAAAAATATGGGTCTGATGTATTCTTTGGCATGTGAAAAGCCAGTTTCTCCATCACCGTTTGTTAAAGAGGCTATCTTTCCTCCAGAAAAAGTGTTGGGCCCCTTTATCAAAGGTAAGTTGGCTAAGTATTTTTGCAGTTGTTTCTGCATCTTCTAGTCCGTTCCATTAATCCTTGGGCCTGTTTTTTGCCAGTATCATGTTGTCTTTATCATTGTAGTTTGTAGTATAATTTCAAGTCAGAGATTGTGATGCTCGTGCTTTGCCTTTATTGTCCAGAATTGCTTTTGCTACTTTAGGTGTCTTCTGGTTCCAAATTAAATTTAGGAATATTTTCTCTAATTCTGGGAGATATGCTATTGGTAGTTTGATTGAGATTGCATTAAAATTGCCTAACACTTTTGGGGTATGGCCATTTTCAGTATGTTGGTTCTTCTAACCCAAGAGCAAGGGAGATCTTTCCATTTTCTCATATCTTCTTTGATTACTATTTCCAGAGTACTATAATTTTCAAATGTAGAGATCTACTTCTTTCATTAGATTGTTGCCTAATTATTACATTTTTTTTCAATGCTATTTGAATGTTGAGTTTTCCCTAATTTTTCCTAAAACTCCCTTTAGTGAGTTTGCTGTTCGTGTACAGGAATTGATTTTTAATATAGACTTTATATCCAGCTATGCTACTGAATTTGGTTTTTAAATCTACAAGTCTTTTGGTGGAGTATTTGGAGTCTTCTGTGTAGAGTATCATGTCATCTCCAATAACAGTAGTTTAAATTCTTCTTTTCCTATCTTAATTTCTTTCTCTTATCCAATTGCTCTGGCTAGTATTTTGAGAAATACATTGAATAAGAATTGTGATCATTGCCGAGATGAGGTAGCACACAGCTGTAATCCCAGCATTTGGAAGTATGAGGCAGGAGGATCACATGAGTTTGAGACTACCCAGGTAACATAAGCAAGTTCATGGCCAGTTTGTACTATATAATGAGATTTTGCCTGAAAACAAAGCTGCACAAAAAACAGTGGTGATAGTGGAAATCATCTTTCTAATGAAAGCTTTCAGTTTTTACCATTAACATGGTGTTGGCTTATCAGGTTAAGTGACCCTTAGTTATTGCAGGCTGAGGAGGCCCACAGTCTCCCAAACAATTGCATGGGGAAGTCTTAAATAAATGAGAACATTGAAATAATTTCAGGGCTCCAGGAGGGACTAATTCTTTTACAGTTTTGATATTCTCTGTGTTTAGACCAAGACTTCTCTGGGAATCCAGTATTTACATGGCTTACAAACAAAGGAGGGGGATACTCAAGAAAAGGAGAGAATCTGGGCAGGACTTTTCCAAGTAATACATTATGTTAATTTAGGAGAAGTATATTATCTCTATAAAGGTCTTCACAGCAGCAGTGAGATGCCTGCAGCTTCAGTCTCCTTTAAGTTAATTGGGGTTGGAGCCAGAGATCCTCAGCTGAGGCCTTGTCTTCTTCTTTGAGGTGTCGCAGCTTCACAGGCCAACACAGGTCTCAGCAATGACCAGTGACTCACAGAGGTTTACTTACTATAAGTCCACTGCCCATCTTCAGACAAGGTGCCTAAACTTCAGACAACTCACAAGTAAACACGGAAAGCCAATTGGTTAATATTAAATCCTGCTCAGAGCCACTTGGCAGTGGTGTTGGTAGGACAACATTGGCTGTTGTTCTGTCATAAATGGATTTCATCAGATTGATATAAAGGCCATCTATTACAAGTTTTTGTAGACCATTTTGCATGAGTGGGTTTAAAACTTATCATATGCTTTGTCTCTATCTATTGACATTATCATGGAGTTTTTCTATTTGCCTGTGTTAATATGGTGTATTATACATATTGATTTGCATGTTTGCATATATTGCTCATCCCTACATCTCTGGGATGGAACCTTCTTGGTCATGGTGTATAATCTTCTTGATGATCTCTTGCATTGTTTGCCACTAATTTATTGTGAAATTTGGGGTCTATGTTAATTAGAGAGATTAGCTTGTAGTTCTCTTTTTTAATAAGACCTATCTCTGGTTTTTATATCAGGGTAATTCTTGTTTCTCTGAAAGATTTTGAGATAGTGCCTCCTTTTAATTTCATTAAAGATTTTGAGGAGTGGTGGCTTTGATATCCTCTAAATTTCTTGTAGAATTCATCAGAACATCCATCATGACCTGTACTTCTTTTGCTGATAATTTTTAAATTGCATCTTCAATTTTATTGATTGATTTTGGGTTATTTAGAATCTTTATATCTTTTTGGTTTTTTGTTGTTGTTGTTGTTGTTTTGGTTTTTCTCCGGTACCGGGAACCAAACTCACAACCTTCCGCTTGCCAGGCAGGCGCTTTGCCCCTGAGCTAAATCCCCAGCCCCCTTTATATCTTTTTGATTCTGCAATGGAATTTCATATGCATCTAGGAATCTGTCCATTTCTTCTGTGTTTTCCTATAGGGAGTGGCTGAAGCTGCAAATTGCTCATGTGTGGGGGCAAGACAAGGCCAAAAGCCCTAAAACAATCAAATTACCTCAGTCTTGAGAAAAACATCTTGCCTGAGACAATTCCAGTCATTAGTCACTAGGCAACCCTGTTTGCATGATACTAACTTTTTCAAAAGTATAAGTAAACAACCCTACTGTTGTTGTTCATTTCCTCTTGTCCCAGCTTTCATCTCTTATGTTTATTTTCTAAGTCTCCTGTCATTTTTCCCAAGGGACAG